TCGCGGCTCCCGAGTGTCCGAGTCTGAATCGTCACCAGCTCTCCCGAAGTTCATTCCATATTTCCCTCGATCGTGTCTACGTGAGTTTGTCGTTGCTGCTCGTGATCTCTGAATTTGAACGGTTCGCCAAGCTTCCACTGCAGACGTAGTGACGCGCCGACGCGTGGACGCGATTACAACGCCTCCCTCTCTTTCAACTCCAACATCGGTCTGTGAAATTCGAATTTCCGCGCGATGACATCACCAGCGCTTACCCGGCGCTCAACGCATGTCATCGTTGGTTTGGGGCGTTCGGGAGCGTTTGTTGAATTGGAGGTATGACGGCGCGCACCACGACAATGTGCTCCCTCGCGTGTCGCTGCATTACCAGCTCGCCGCATCACAGGGGTGTCATCTTCTTGCCCGACGACGCCTGACGCCTATATAAACCCGTTCCAATTGCGTTGGGGAGATCAACTTTCTCTGTCTCGCACCCACCCCACGAATTACAACTACCAAACGCACCTACCAAACCAACATGTCGCACATGAACGAACAAGAGGACGTCCCGCAGCAGGAGCCGGAGAAGGAGGAGCAGTTTGAGTACGTTGCATCTCCATCCGTATTCCGTGTTGAGCGGTATGGTTACGACGCTTTGGGAGCAGCGGCGACGACAAGCGCACGGAGGAGGAGAAGGAGCAGGATAAGAAGCTCGCGGAGCGGATCTCCCAGATTATCGAAGCCGCCAACCAGAAATGCACGCCTCTGTGCAAGATGATCCGCAAGGTGCGCATCCCCTCTTCCCTCCTACCTTCCCCAACATGCAACTGACGCTCCGCACAGCACATCGAAAGCATGTTCGAGCGCAAAGAGGAAGACCGCGACGAGGCGGAGCTGGTCAAGAACGTCAAGCCCCTGCTGCAACAAGCGGAGCAGATCCTCAACGAGACGAACGGCTCCATCCGCGGCGCGGACCCGGACAACCGCCTCAGCAACAAGGCCACAAGGAACATGCAGGACCATAAGGCGACGCCGGAGGAGCAGAGGCTGGCGGAGGCGCTGAAAGTTGTGCGTTGCTCTCTTTCCTTTCTCCGCGTTTGTATTCGCGATGTTAATGTTTTTTGGTTTGGCGGCGTAGATGATCCAGGACGTTGGCGGTACGATCGAGTGGGCGAAGGATAAGCTCGACTCTTTCCCCAAGGCCAAGAAAGACCTTGGTCCCCTTCTCGACGCCATGGGCCGTGCGTCCCCTCTTGTCTTTCTATCCTCCCTTTGTTGATACTCGCACAGAACCGCTAACCCAAATCGTCGGCGGCGTCGGCCTCCTCCTTGCGGGCGTCCTCAACCTCCTCGGCAAGCTCCTCTCCGGGCTCGGGCTGGACAGCCTCCTGAAGGGCATCGTGGGCGCGACGGGCTTGGATAAGATCTTCAAGGGGTTTGGGCTGGATAAGTGGTTGAATTTCGGGAAGAAGTAAACGAGAGGGGGTGAGATAAGGAAGGGGGATGTGAGAAGAAAAGGAATGTAAAGAGGTTGTAGACTAGGATAATGTTGGACAGTATATAGTATACAGGGACGTGGACGTTTATTTGATTCATTGACTGCTACAACTCGACTTCGTCTCGACGCACAAGCATGCCCTAAACTTGTCATATACTATGACGGTATTTATCGTCAAAAATTATTTACGCAGTATCGCGTACAGTTAACACGGAATGTGAACATAATTTAACGGACAGAAACAACAATTTAAGGTACATGAACAGCAAAAATGCACTGTGTACTTGTACATTGTTCACCTATAGCTTGACACAGGTGTGAGACTTTTAAACAAGGAGATGTTGTACTGTACACTGCAACATTTCAACATTCAACTTCGCAGTGTTGAACTTGTTACGCACGACATGCAAAGCAATCTAATCTGGATCAAACCTGATCAATCCCGGACAGTCTGGCCGATCCCAAGTTGATCCCCAGGGATGAATCATGATATTCCACTCCCACTCGCGATCCCATTCCCATTCCCATTCCCATTCCCACTCCCACCATCCTCCTTGGCCACGGAGTCCCGGTAATTCCGATCTTTCCGGGGCTAGGCGACGTGCATAAAACCGGGCACTTAGGAAGCCCGTCGACGTTAGACTTTTTCCGGCTTTTCTCCATCCATTACGCCACCAGGAGCAGGGGTGTTTCAAACTGTTGAGATAATTTCCCAGAATCATTGCCAGGAGAAAGCCTTGAGAAAGTCCCATTCAAAATTTGACGTCGTTTGGAAACGCACTTGCTAAGGCACCGGCATGCAGATTTATTGGATGGGTAAGAGTCGATTACACAAGCTGTTACTGTACCGACAAAATATGAACACAGTCTGCATGGCAACGTGAGAATTCAACGCGAGAGATTTAATAAGAGTAAAACGGCTTCCGTCCGGGGAAGCCCGAATGCGAAATGGGACGGCTAAGAACATGGATTCATTGGGAGGCCACTGCTCAACTGGCGGTCAAAACGAACGAAATTACAAACAGTAGAACGGCCGACGGGTTTCCAAGGTAAGCCTCACGCGGGATTGCAGTCGTGAGCCTCAGATAGCAAAGTTGGACGGCCTCAGATAAGAACAGGAGACTAGGAGTTTTAACGCAGTAACTAATTTAATTAATAGATTTATATGGACCACAACGTGGGGGCGGAACAGCGAGAGGGAACCATTGGATGCTCATTGCCGCGAAGTACTGTGTCAGTCGGCCTTGCATTGTGTTTTACGCTCAGGATGAGACGGATGTTTTGAGCAAGGCAGATAGAAGAGACAATCACTGAGGGCAGAGGAGGAGGTCGACCTGTGAGGAAAAAACAAATCTAGGGAGGCACTCCCCGATAAACGGCCTGTACACTTCAAGCGCAACAGACATTACAGAAATGTCGCATATACCGCTGAACAAAAGACAATGAATGGGCACTGTATCGGGGCCAGTGTCGCGCTTCGCGCCGCGCTGCGTTCGGAAACCTGATCCCCGAGATCCCCGAGCCTCTGGTTCAATTACGCACATCGCGTCCCGCTCCCGCTTGCAACTTTATTTCCATTCACTCTCAATCCTTTTGCTGCACTCCGCTGTTCATCACTCTCCTCTACGTTTATCCTTCACCCATTGTACAGCTTTTCGGGCTCGGACACGATGTCTTGCATTTCCATTCCTACTTACTATATATTGTGATGCTGGCTCCCTGCTCAACACGATCCCGTTTCCACCGAGCCACTCATTGTGGCCGCGGTATTGGCTCACGTCCCGTCGCCCCCCTCTTCATACAGGACAATAATCTGAATATGTTGGCCCACTCGCACTCCTCATATATGACCCTTCCCCCTTGGATTTGCTTGGACGGTCGGTTGGCTCGTCACCAGGAGGGGGCAAGGTTAGGAAGCAAAAAGACGCCTGCGGAAGGGGCCGAAGCATAGGAGAACAAATGGCGAGAAATCCTTCAAAAACACGGTGATTGACTAGGGAAATGTGATAAAAATGGAGGTGGAGGGACGGGTGGTGGACATGGGAGGCCTTCTCCCATCTGGATTCGACCCCGGGCAGTCCATTATCGAGATGTGACGAGTGCACGTTCCTCCTGGGTCTGCGGAAAATCACGTCGATAGTGTGAGAGCGCACGACAAATTCCCATTTGTTTGCTGTCAGGCTTTGGATTTATCTGGCACCAGCCGGTCTCCTGGGTCTCCTCAGACTCTCACTAAGTAAAGTCTGCACAAAAAATCCTCCGACGCCCGGGACAATCTCGATCTCGAACTGTATATATCTCCCCACGGCCGTCGAAAGTAAGTTTTTTTTTTGTTGAACAGAATTTGTCCCAGGCATCTTCTGTTCAACACGCATGGCGATTCAAATTCCTTGATCCTCAAATTACTTACCTCTCGACAACGTGCCAGTGCTCGTTCGATCGAGCGTCGTTATACACACTAGTATTAATCCATGGGTCCTCATGTCTTATCGGCGTGGTAACAATAATGATACATTGTGCGCCGGGTTGGAGCTCTTTGTCTGGGCATGCAAAGAATTCAAGAATTTGGATTTGTACATTCGGAGACGTGCTGAGGCTGTAAGGTTCATATATGTGAGGGTTCTCGCTGATAGTGAACCTTCTTTCTTATATCCTTCCTGAGCCTCGCGTCGAGACAATGATTGGACTACAACAATGATTGGATGGAGCATGGTAGCCGGAATTGGGATTCCTGAGAAACGACACTGCGGCGTGGATGGGAGTGGGATTGATATCATCTTCCCAAGCGGCGAAGTAGGAACTGATATGCGGGATCGACATCCGAGTGGGAAGTCCCACGGTTGAACGGGACTGATGGCATCGATAAGGGTGGCTCGCGCGGTTTAGACTGTTCATTTTTATCTTGTGCACAGTAGATTTGAGGTGCTCAAGCATAGTTCTCTGTTGTATTTAGTCGGGTGTAGTGTGTAGAGAGTACACTGCTCCACTGTAAAATGTGGTGCACTGACAGTGCACTGCACAATGTACAATAAATGTGTACTCTTCTGGCACGCAGTGTAGATTTTTACCGTTCCTGTTAACAAATGGCTGTAATATCTCCGGTTTACCGGTAAATGCAACACGCTCCAAGTGGCATCGCTCCTGTACATAATTTATGACGAAAAAAGCTTTTATAATATACCGCTGAGTTGAAAGACGACTCCCAACCATCCAGTAGCACACGGCGCGCCCCTGCTTTGACTTGAGGTACATCCTTCTTTGCTTCTGCAGGTGAACCCCGTTCGATTCGGGGCTGGGTGATGCTATAGCGTCCATTTTTTTTTCAACGGGCAATGGATGGCGTGTGTCGTCTGCCGCATTTTCCCAGTGTCTTGATCCCTGATAGATTCAAGCACCGCGATGTTCAATAATCGTGTCCGTGAAAATATCAGCAACCACCAGAAGATTTGTCCTGCCCTGAGACGACCGAATACACCGACATTCTCTTCATCCCCGAGTTGAAGCGCTCGGACTACCTCACAACCACCCAGTAGCACACGGCGTGCCCCTGCCTCGGCCTATCAAAGTCTTCTGTCTATGCAGGCGATCCCCGTTCGATTCGGGGCTGGGTGATGTTTCGGCGCGTTTGTGTATTTTGTTCCAGCAGGTAACGAATGTCGCCCATTCTTTACCGCGCGTTACCAGCTGGCAGTGCCTCGGTGGCTCGTGAGCAACGTTTAATAACCGCGTGCCTAACAATATCAAGAACCGCCAAAGAATTATCTTGCCCTGGGACAAGCGAATACACCGACACCGACATTCTCTTCATCACGACCGGGTTGAAACACTAGTTCGCAACCACTCAGTCGCACACGGCGTGCCCCTGCTTGGCTTCGTGCAATTTTCTCCGAGATCCTTTGTGTCTGCAGACGAACCCCGTTCGATTCGGGGCTGAGTGATGCTATGGTGTCCATCTCTTTTTTTTTCAGCGGGCAACGGAGCGTGCATGGTTTTGAACAACATTCACGAGTACCTCTTTTCACCTCCTTTTCACCTCAGGCGCGTGAAACATCAGAAAGACCGCCAAAAGAATCTGTCCCGCACTCAATGCACCGACGGGGAGTCGAACCCCAACTCCGCGGTAAATCAACCACCGTCTACCAAACTGAATCGCGGTGTGTCCCGGACACAATCGGTGCTTAGTCTATCCACCACTCGGTGTTTCTCGTGCGTGCTGTTCGTTGAGACCTAAGGCCTAAGGACTAGTGCTTACACAGTCGGGCAGTTTGGGCTTGATGTTGAAGCGAAAACCAACATTCGGTATGTGCCGATTCATGCGGATGCCCCTTCAATCCTTTCGAGAAGTTGTACATGTACAAAACCCTCGCCAAATGGAATCCAAAAAAAATGTCAGGCCACATGCATGGCAATGCACCGGCGGGGAGTCGAACCCCAGCTGCGCGGTAAATTCTATGGTTGTCCAACCCGACACGTTATCGCGAGGTGTTCCGAACACTATGCCATCGGTGCTTGTTCTGTCTTGCATTCGACGTCTCTCGTGCGTGCCGTTTGTGGGGGAAATATCCCTCGTAGTTGGCTGTCTAGGAGAGCAATTACTCGTTCATCCTCTCACCGAAAGCTGCGTCGAATGGGATCGTCGGCGCGGTGACGAGGGTGGACAAGATATTCAAGGGCTTTGGGTTGGATAAGTGGTTGAACCTTTGGATGAAATCAGCCAGCTGCGAGAGGAGGATGCTTAACCCAACTCGAAGGTTGATGTGAAGAGGTTTGAGTTGAAAAACTCTTCGAGTTGAACTTTCAGCCACCTAGTAGCACACGGCGTGCCCCTGCTCCACTTCGTTCAATTCCCTCGAAATCCTTCGTGTGTCTGCAGGCGACCCCCGTTCGATTCGGGGCTGGGTGATGCGTGATGGCGTCGTTTCAAGACTATATTTTTTTCCCCAGCGGGCACCGGATGGCGTCCGTCGTTTGCCGCGTTTTACTGGTGTCTAGGTGGCTCGTGAGGCGGGTTCAATAATAATCGCGTGCCTGAAATACCGAACCAACAAAATAATTGTCTTGCGCTGAGACAACTGAATGCATTGGCATTCTTTTCATCACCGCCAAGTTGATTAATCACTATCACTACCTCGCAACCACTCAGTAGGACACGGCGTGCCCCTGCTCCACTTAGTTCAACTCCCTCGTAATCCTTCGTGTCTACAGGCGAACCCCGTTCGATTCGGGGCTGGGTGATGCTTGAGTGTCTTTCTGATTTTTTTTTCAGAAGGCAATAGATGACGTGCTTTTTTGACCGAGGGTACGAGTACGTCTGCCAATGGGTGGGGGTCCTTCACGACCGGGTTAAAACACTACCTCCCAACCACCCAGCAGCGTACGGCGTGCCCCTGCCTCGGCTTATCGAAATCGTTCGTGTCTGCAGGCGATCCCCGTTCGACTAGGGGCTGGGTGATGATAGTCAAAGCGTGATCGTCTGTTTTTTTTCCAGCGGGCACTGAATGACGTACATATTTCACCGAGTGTGCGACCACGGATGATGTTCGTGCCTCAGACGCATCCAAAATATCAGAAACCACCGTAAAACAATTGAACTGAGGCAACCAACGCACCGACGGGGAGTCGAACCCCAACTCCGCGATAAACTCTCTACCACATACCAGACTCAGTGTATGGCGGTGTGTCCCGGACACTGTCGGTGCATATCTTGCTGAGATGTAGCTGCAATTTGTCGGGAACTCCAGAAGATCAACTCCTCGTTCATGCCGCCGGGTCTTGTTGAACACCCTGCGAGGATTAATACGTAGACACCCAGCCAGGAGGGAGAATCCGAGAGTTGGGTCAGTTGTAACAAGCAGCTCTCGACCAGTGCGAGACAGCGCCAGTATCTTGCGGCATGCGAAAGCGTGGCCGTTGGGAAGCACAGATGGGAACGCCCAAAATCGAGAAACAACCTGCAGTGATTGAAATGAAGTGAGCCAATTTTTTTCTTTGCTTCCAAAAATCAGGCAGCGACACGCCAGACGAGGGACAAAAATGCTCAATGCGGAAGACCATAAGACCCGAGTCCGAATCGAACAGACGAATCCTGCAGAATAAACGCTTCAAAAACACCGAGGTTTTGCAGGTGCGCGCTACGCGCCGCCGGGAGTTATTGGATAGCTTGTGAGGCTCAGTAGGTACAACGTCAGACGCAAGACACCCAGGCAAGAGGGACAATTCGAGAGTCAGGTAAGTTGCGACGAGCGACTCTTTACTAGCTCGAGGTTCAGACAGTCAGCGGGAGAGAGCGGAGACCAGTGTAGTGACTGGAAGGGTATTCGAGATTCTATTTAGATGTTCGAGAGCAGCGAGTCCAGTGTCCAGTGGCCGTTGGTAAGTCAAGCCAGAAGGGGCTGAGAGAAAAAATGCGGCGAAGACATGTTGCATCGAGCGCGGCAGAACAAACACATAGACAATAAAGCACAGAGGGCCAGGCGATGTTTCGTGTCCCGAGCCTATGATTTTCTTTGGCCCATAGGGAAGTGCTGTAGATACGGATCGAAAGATGGAAATCCTTCGGGGCAACTGAGACTCCGAAAGCGAACAGCACGTGGATTTGAACCCATCCAATTTTTCGAAAGCTAACGTTGCATCACATCTCAGGCACGGTGCCGCCAGGAGGATTTATTCGAACGTCGATTCTTGAATTCGTCATGGTGGTAGGAAGAGCAGATGTGGCGGTGTACAGATCAGTGATGCTTAAATTTTTTATCGGTGATCTGATGGCGGGCCGCTCCATGGTGACAACGACGACTGGACGACTGCAGCGAAGATCACAGGCCACACAGCGAGACTCCGTTTCGCTCCTCCGGCTCATCCATCCGAGCCTGGATCCTTTCAAATCGATGCCGAGGAATTCAATCGCTGGAATATGGCTTGGAATATGGATGACTGAAGCTTCCGTGCGGTCTGAAACATCCTCAAATCTCGCGTCCCCCGAGTGTCCGAGTCGCATGTTACACTTCTGAATCATCACCGGTTCGAGGATTTTTACCTCGTTGGTGTCGTGCTGCCAACGTGCTGCTCGTCGCGTACGTCTGAATTTTGGTCAATTTGCCAAGTTCTTCGCCTCTGTGCAAGATGATCCGCAGGTACGCGCTCTTCCCTCCTCCCCTCCTCCCTCCCTCCTTTTCCCTTCCTACCTTCCCACACATCTAACTGACTGGACGCCTTAGCACATCGAAAGCATGTTCGAGCGCAAAGAGGAAGACCGCGACGAGGCGGAGCTGGTCAAAAACGTCAAGCCGCTGCTGCAACAGGCGGAGCAGATCCTCAACGAGACGAACGGCTCCATCCGCGGCGCGGACCCGGACAACCGCCTCAGCAATAAGGCCACGCGCAACATGCAGGACCACAAGGCGACGCCGGAGGAGCAGCGGCTTGCGGAGGCGCTGAAAGTCGTGCAGTTGCTCAATTGATGCGTGTAGATGATCCAAGACGTCGGCGGCACGATCGAGTGGGCGAAGGAAAAGCTCGACTCGTTCCCCAAGGCCAAGAAAGACCTCGGTCCCTTCCTCGACGCTATGGGCCGTGCGTCTCCTCTTCCCTCTTGTTTTCTTTCTTCCCTTTGCTGACGCGTTGACTCGCACAGAACCTTTAACCCAAATCGTCGGCGGCGTCGGCCTCCTCCTCGCCGGTGTACTCAACCTCCTCGGGAAGCTCCTCAGTGGCCTCGGGCTCGACAGCCTATTGAAGGGCATCGTCGGCGCGACGGGGCTGGATAAGATATTTAAGGGCTTTGGGCTGGATAAGTGGTTGAACTTTGGGAAGAAATAAAGTGAACTGGCTGCGAAAGCGAGAAGACGGTGATGAATAATGTACGGAGAGTGTAGGCTAGGATAATATCATGGACAATATATAGGAATGTGGACGTTTATGTGATACAACCGAGGCTTGAACTTTGTCATTGAAATTCATCGGATTATCATGCATGTTTTCTTCACCACCAAGTCACTACCTCACAACCATCCAGTAGCACACGGCGTGCCCCTGCCTTGACTTGCCGAAATCCTCTTTCTATGCAGGCGACCCCCGTTCGATTCGGGGCTGGGTGATGGTCCAGCGGGCAACTTCCTTTTTCTCCGTGTTTACGAATACCTAAGCCCACGGGTGATGCTCAATAATCGCGTGCCTAAAAATATCAGAGTCCACCGGTACCGAAAAAATTCTTACAGCCAACAATGAATGTACCGAGGGGAGTCGAACGCCAACTCCGCGGTAAATTCTGTGCTCCTGCTACCCGTCATGCTATCGCGGTGTGTCCCGGACACTATCGGTGCTTTTCTACCTACCATTCGACGTCTCTCGTGCGTGCCGTTCGTTAGAACTTGGGAGAACCCTCACTCGTGCGCATAGTTTGATGTAAAGCGAAAACCATTATTCGATATGTGCGGATTCACCTGGTTGCATATGCCAGTTACTCGAGCAGCTGTACACGTACAATGTAATGCAAAAAAAATGTCAACCCGCGCTCGTCTTGAATGCACCGACTGTCGACGGGGAGTCGAACCCCATTTCCGCGGTAAATTGCCGACCCCCATTCAATGGTGTCGCAGCGTGTCCCGGACACCATC